TTTATATGTTTCCTATAAAGTCAGTTTTTACAAGGTATAATATTTAATTTTTTTTTTTGCAGATGACGTCCAGATTTATTATTTATTTTATTATAGACTTTCTTAACCAAGATATTGACATTCCTCTGGGTCATTTATCCTTTTATTATAAGCTTGTATCTTTGTTGTATCGTTGGATGACTTCTAAAGTCAAGTCCAGCAAAGACGGAGACATATCCTCCAGTAAAGGTCTTTAAAAGTTTTAGAATATGTTTAAAATAGACTGCCTCTTAATATTAGATTTCTGAATAAACCAAAAACATTTTAAAGCTGTGTTGTATTTTTATTGGTTAGCTTCTAGCTCATGTTTCGCCAAATGTTGTTTTATCTGTTTTTATTATTTTACTGTATCATCTTTCAATTCTATTTTATATCTTTATTGCAATATTGTCATACATTCTATTTATCTTAGTGGCAATTTAGTTTGCAAAGCACTTTGACCTTCCTAAGAATCCAAACCTGTTGATTAAGGATCAGTACCAGCAGGAGATAAAGACATATCAAAAAGCTGAAAATATTTAAGGGAGTCTAGCACGATTATTAAGTACGTGGGATATCTCTATTTCCCCAACCTTCTGACTGCAGCTTCTTCTGATGAACTGGCCTCCCTAATCTCTGTGGTTTTAGAAGAAATATGAGAAAACAAAGAGTTTCTATTAGTCTGAGGCTGATTCCATGTCTTTTTAATGGTTTGTCTTTGATTAAGCAGATCATAAGGAAAAGAAACAAACAAAACCTCTGGAGATTTGATCAAGCTTTTAATGAGCTGATTGTCTCCTATCGAAAGCAATTCTTTGTTATAACAGTTTACTTATTAACTTTTACTCATACTGTGCAGAAAATATGTTGTTCTTCTGTTTTATTATCAGATGAAAAGAGGAAACGACAATGATTGTGGTTCTTGTGGTGAAATACATGATGCTACATCTGTCTGTTGGCCAATGAAACTCTTAAATGGCTTGTGTGTGGACCCCTGACTGCCTCTTCTGTCTTTGTGTTTTCTGTTTGGGTCTGTTTGTCGTTTGAATGGTTGATCAGTTTTTCACCTGAAGATGGAAAACGGCAGTTTAGGAAAAAAGAAGCAGAGACATGAAGCACAGAAAAATCCTAAAATTAGAAGAGAAACACAAACGATCAGAGAGTAAATAGATATAAAGAGGCCACCACCCGCAGAAGGATGAATCCACCATCCAGTCCGTACCCAGGGGCCCCTCAGACCTCTGCCAGCCCGGCCCCTGGACCACACCCAGTGGCAAGCAGCATGAGACCCAGGAGTCCTCGCCTCTGTCCGTCACACTATCGCTGTCCTTTCCGCTCCCATTGTTTGTGTCCGGCAGCTTCCGCGATGCCCTGCGACCCTCTGGAAGAAAACAGGCTGTGTGTGAGCGCCGCCGGGGCTGCTGGGTATTTATGGAAGCGAACGCCACTGAATCACTTCCAGCTTCACCCTGCAGCAGTGTTTGAGTGTGTGTGTGAGAGGCACTTTCCTTTACAAGTCCGACAGAAGCTCTGTGTATGTGTGTGTGTGGCTATTTCTGGCAGCAGCAGTGTGTCCTGAGCTGGTGAGACTGGAAACTAGCAACATGAACAACATCCGCTCCCAGTCCACCTCCACAGTGATGTTTACCCACCAACTTTCCTTCATTAAGGTCCAAGCTGAGCCTTACTTTCAGCCCTTCTTCAGACCTTTAAGTGAGCCTGTTGGTTCTGTTTGATAATCTTCAGATTTGTGTCCAAATTATTAATGAACGGGAAAAAAATAGGGTTTATATCTGCAGTGCTGTTCAGGTGTTTGGCAGCAAACTAAAATACTCACTTTATTCTTATTTTTTCAGTTCAATCAATCAGAAACATCTAGACAACTAATTTCCTTTCCCATCTGTTCGATGTAAACTGAAAAATGTTGTGTTGGTTGTAAATTAAACTATTTTACCAAACTATTACCAATTACCTATTACCAATCTAATACTTACAGTTATTTGCACTAAGTTTACCTCAGTTAATCCTGTCATTGCTTAGCTTGGTTTATGGTGGGTCAACTCACTTTACTTTATTTAACTTTTCCTACTTAAACTCTGGTATTTCATGACTTAGGTCTTGTTTACAGCACATTTTGTCTTAACTTTCCAAAAAAAACTAATTGAATCCAACCATAAAGGCCAACAGTTCTGTTTTTTATTCAGTCTCCTGTCTAAAAAAACAAAAAGAACAAAACAGAATATTGCATTAATGAGTCGACTTAACTTCTCCTGAAGGAGCATAAATGACAGTGGATTGAAAAAAAAACTCCCTTTATGTAGCAGGAAGAAACCTTCAGCAGAACCAAGCTTGGTACCAGCAACCATCTGCGGCACAGTAGTCAATAAATTTGGACCTAGTTGCTTCTGAACATAACTTTTTCAGCCTCATCCAGTGATCTGTGGGTTTTAGACACAAATGAAAGCCCCTGTCACACCTTGACGATTTAGCCAGCGTATGCCTGACGTCCTAGAATCTCCTAAAACGCTGGCATACCCTGAACTTTCTATCTATTCTATTTCTCCACTTTGAGATCAATAACTTCAATCTACCAGTCAATCAATCAAGCAATCAATCAATCAAAGATATGAGATGATTGTGTGATAGCTTCTGATATCTATTGTAAAAATCTCACATAGTGACGTTGAATTGAACATTATCTAACTTTGCCAAAAGACAAGACACATGGTTTTAAATTTGACCTTTAGTTTCTTGTGTTTCCAAAGGTTAGTCGAGGCGTTGGTGCAGGATTATTTCACTATAAAGACTACAGCTTCTATATTGGTGAAAGGCCTTTATATTGGTCTTTTCACTGCGCTGGACAAGACAACTTTCCTGGTTTTACAGTGCCAGGTCACTAAGACGTTCAACCCTTAGACTTAAGCTGTTTTTCTTCCAAACCAAAGCAGTTAGCCTAAAAAGTCATTTGATTTGATATTTGGAAAACATTGTCTGCTTTTTTCTTCTGTTTTTTTTGTCAGTCCAGTAACACTTAAAATATAGGTATGAAATCAACTGCACTGAACCATTAGGTCAGTTTATGTTGGGACTGCAGACTCCGGTCCCATTGGAACAGTAAATCTGTCAGAGGAAAGCCATCCAACCAGTCTGCAGATTTTAGGGTGGGTCTGATAAGTAGCTGACTAATATGTGGTCGGCTTTGATCAGGCTTGAAGTCTCCCAGGTTCCCACCTGAAATTTCATGGCTAAAGATAAGACTACGCCCACCAAACCCCATCTCTGAATGACGGTATAAAAGTCTTATCTGTGTTTGTCTGGTAAAACTGTCATAATCCATGTTCAGCTGAACAAAAACCATGTAGATCAGTAAAACAACTCAACTGATGGAAAGTTTAATCATTAATGTGTTTCCTAGGAATATTATTGCCGTCACTAAGATGATCTTTGTGCGTTGAAAGCTCTCAAGCTGCTCAGTGTCTGTTAATGTTTGAAGACTTTATGATTCTTTGTCCTACTGGTGTTCCGGTTGTGAGAACATGTTGGTTTATAACTGGGTGTACTTTATGACCTACATGGCATTAAATGACATGTCTTCAGGTTTATTGGTTGGTTTGACGTAAACGTCATCAAGGTTGGTACTAATAGAAGCCTAAACTGGAGGACATTTTTTGTGAATTCTAGAGATCTTCGAAATGTTCCAAAGAGGCTTCCATCTGGTTTGTTTGTTTGTTTTTTCTACATAGGGTAAAAGTCCAAATAGGAAATTCAAATGACAGGGTTGTTTAAAAAAATTGTGAGCTGGAAACTAAAGTACCAAACTTTAGTCTGCGAGTCTAAAGTCATGGGTTAACTTTTAGGCCCAGATCAAACATTTACCTGCTGGACTCCTCCTGGTATCTAATTCAAAAGCTTCTACAGTGTCTGATTTTTTTTTGAAAATATTGGCATTTAAATGTAATTAAAATTATTCTCCATTGTGAAGAAGACCTGAAAATACAGTTGTTTGAGTCAGACAACATTTTTAAGGCTTCTGTGTCTCTAGATCTTCTTAGTTTCTTCGTCAGAGTACCAGTAACCACTCATGACACAACAAAGGACTTTTAGATATGTAGGAAAAAACTCAGAGGCAGACAAGGACTGGGCATCCTCTGAGAAGGAGATAAATGTATTGCCATGATTTTGTCAAACCACATTTCTTAGTCTTATCTTCCATATTATTTGAGGAGCTCCACTGACTGCTAACTACAGCTCCTAGTGGGGATGGGGTCTTGCAGCTCAAAACTGAAATTTATATCTGACTGAGGAAAGCAGCCCACCCATCACGCTTAGAATGCTAAGTTTGGATAAAAAGAAAAAACTTCTTACAGATTACCTATATTAGATTAGTTCTGTTTTTTAAAATACTGTTCCCGAGTATTGTCAGGATAAATCGGAGCTGCAAAAATAAGGACGTAGTTACAGTCTTTGGTGTTAAAGAATATGATCCCTTATACAAGCCGATGAAATGAGCTTCCCCTGTCGGGTCAGATTAGTTGGAGATTTTGCCCCTCCCACTGGATAAAGAAGCCAAATCCAAGACTCAAGGCTTAGAAAATTCATTGTATTTCTGGACAGAATTAATTATAGGCTATATAATTATATATCTGCAACCTATTATTATATAACAATGAACAGAAAGAAGGTACCAATTTTCCCATCTGGAACTTATGTCATGGAACTGTTTATCAACCCTAATAGACCCTAACAAATAAACATACGGTCTACATGATTGAAGTCAGTCTCAAAAAGTCCTTGTAAATCTACTCTGGTTCACATCTGGTGAAGGTTAAAGGACTTTGTTCAGTCCATTTACTGCTTTTCTTGCATAATTTTAATTCACTAGGGTTTTTTGTAGAGACAATATTTCTATCTTGAGTTTATAGAAAATGCTTTTTTCATGATTGATTGATTCATTGATTGATCTCTCCTTTTTTCTCCCTCAGGTTTTTCCATCCCCTTTCCCCCTTCCCCAGCTCCATCATGCCTATCCTTAAGAACCTCCCTGTGCGCCTGAAAGGCGGTGGACCAACTCTAGACAACGCCCTGTTCATCCGCAGGATGAGTCTCAACATCACACCCCACCACAACCCCTTCGAACATGAGGATGACAATATCCATGGGAACGGCGGCCATGGAAATAACTGGTCACCTGGAAGCTCGCTGTTGGACGGCGATGTGCCGAGAGACCGCAACCCATTTGAGGACGAGGAGGACGAGAACGAGGCCAATGAGGGTAGAAAAGGAAATAGCAGAGGAGGGTCGGTGAAGGGGTCTTTTAAGTTTAAATCGCCACTGAAGGGACTTGACAAGCTTAGGAAGAACTTGAGAATGTCAGGTGGGAAGAGCAAGGGGGGTGACACGCCCTCCCCACAGGAGTCACTTCAAGGAACGCCTTCGCCCTCACTGAAGAAGAAGAGAGGCAGGAGAAGCTCTGAGGGCAGTCTGCTCAGGTAGACTCAGCTAACTGGAGCATTTCACACATAAATTAGTTCTAAGAAATTATTAACCTTTCTGCAGATATAACGCAATAAGTTATAAAACTGACAGACAAATGGCTAACATTCTTATTACACCTTTTCAACTGGTAGCTACTTAGCTCCTCTCAACTCTTTGGGGTTTTCCATCAGGTACTGAAACTCGACTGGAGCGAAAAATTAAAGCAATAGACCTGTGGTCATGGATTTGCTACGAGGTAGCCTCGCTTGCTGAGTCATAAATTTAACTATATAACGAGAATCAAACCAGCAATTGTTGAAAATTCATAGCAGCCCGTCTATTCTGAGCTTTACGGACAGTTATATCATCTAAATCAACACTGTGTTCAAGTGACAAGGAGTAGACTTTGATGTGTTTGGAAACTGATGCAAAAATGCAGGGTGAGCTAGCTGGTAGATTGCCACATACAGATCAAGTAAGGCTACTTTTCAAATAATATTGCTTTAAAGACCCCAACTACGTTCTGGTTGTACTGTGTAAAACAACTTGATACCAAGTAGAGTTAGGTAGAGCATATACTGGTGGTAAAAGAGCCATACGACATGCTTGGAAAATTAATGTTAAACATACACTACTCAAAAGAATTAAAGGAACACTTTGTAATCAAATTATAGCATCCAGTTTATTAAACTTCTGGGATATTGATTTGGTCAGGTAAGTAGCAGAGGGGGTTGTTAATCAGTTTCAGCTGCTTTGGTGTTAATGAAATTAACATCAGGTGCACTAGAGGGGCAACAACAAGACGACCATCAAAACAGGAATGGTTTTACAGGTGGAGGCCACTGACATTTTTTCCCCTCCTCATCTTTTCTGGCTCTTTTTCACCAGTTTTGCATTTGGCTAGGGTCACTGTCACTACTGTTAGCATGAGGCGCTACCTGGACCCATGGAGGAGCATGGAGGAGATTCCGGGAGACAGGCAGTTACTCCAGGAAAGCTGGACAGGGCTGTAGAAGGTCTACAACTCATCAGCAGGACCGATATCTGCTCCTTTGTGCAAGGAGGAGCAGGAGGAGCACTGCCAGAGCCCTACAAAATGACCTCCAGCAGGTCACTGGTGTGAATGTCTCTGACCAAACAATCAGAAACAGACTTCCTGAGGGCCCGACGTCCTCTAGTGGGCCCTGTGCTCACTGCCCGGCACCGTGGAGCTCGATTGGCATTTGCCACAGAACACCGGAATTGGCAAGTCCGCCACTGGCGCCCTGTGCTTTTCACAGATGAGCAGGTTCACCCTGAGCACATGTGACAGACGTGAAAGGGTCTGGAGAAGCCGTGGAGAACGTTATGCTGCCTGTAACATCGTCCAGTATGATCGGTTTGGTGGTGGGTCAGTGATGGTCTGGGGAGGCATATCCATGGAGGGCACACAGACCTATACAGGCTAAACAACGGCACCCTGACTGCCATTAGGTATTGGGATGAAATCCTTGCACCCATTGTCAGACCCTATGCTGGTGCAGGGGGTCCTGGGTTCCTCCTGGTGCAAGACAATTCCCGGCCTCATGTGGCGAGAGTATGCAGGCAGTTCCGGGAGGATGAAGGACTTGATACCATCGATTGGCCCCCACGCTCGCCTGACCTAAATCCAATAGAACACCTCTGGGACATTATGTTTCGATCCATCCAACGCCGCCAGTTTGCACCTCAGACTGTCCAGAAGCTCAGTGATGCCCTGGTCCAGATCTGGGGGGAGATACCCCAGGACGTCATCTGTCGTCTCATTAGGAGCATGCCCTGACGTTGACAGGCATGCATACATGCACATGGGGGCCATGCAAATTACTGAATACCATTTTGAGTTGCTGCAATGAAATTTCAGCAAAATGGACTAGCCTGCCACATAATTCTTTCACTGTAATATTTGGGGTGTCTTTGAATTCATCCCCCTGTAGGTTGATAATTTTCATTTCCATTAAATGATGTGGCATCCTTTTGTTCCTAACACATCACCCAGTCCATATCAGTATAAATAAACAGCATGATCTTTTGCCCCATTGAGATCTGATGTGTTTTCAAAGAGTTCCTTTAATTTTTTTGAGCAGTGTATTTATGCCTATTATCTGAAAACAATGGAGCTAATTACGATATCATATTTAGTGATGGGTATTTATGAAAGCATTGTGGAAGTCTTTAATCTTGAAAGACTATCAACATAGAAAACTACACATAGAAAGATAAAGATGCTCAAACATTCAGGAAAGTAACATTACTTAGTGGTTGAACGGCTAACAGTTGAATGGGTTCCTAAGGACCTTAAGAATGGAAGCGTGAACATGAAGGGCTAAGTGCGTTATGTAAAGAGCCTTTTGTATCTTCATATCCAAGTAGAAGACTTTCTTTGTCCAACAACAGTCAGAAAACCTGGTAAAGACAGATAGCAGGTTTCATGAAGCTTTTGATGAACCATTTGAGCTTGCAGATGTAAAAAGTGGTTCCAGAACAAAAACAATAAAGATTTAATGGTGATAAGTTGACTCACTGCCATTTCTTTTAGATTTGCAGGAAAATATCGTGACTCCCGCAAGGAGTCCCTCACCAACGGTGAGCTCAGCTGCGCAGAAAGTGACTGCGACACTGTCAGCCGGCGCCTGACCTTCATGAAGATGGTGGGCCTCGGAAAGGGGAAAAAAGAATCCATAACCGACCGCATGTCACAGGGCACAGAGGACCAGCAGGTCCAGGAGGAGGTTGTGGAAGAGGTCAAACCCAGAGAGCCTCTGTCAGGTAGGAGAACCATGAGGAGCTAACAGGAGGAGGCGAAATGCCCCATAGATCCAATAGTTAGGTTAGGACTGCTTGGCTCTTGTTTGTATTGTATTAAACATTTTTTCATATGGAAATCACTATGGTGTTTAATTGTAGAAACCTGGACAAGGCTTGATTTCTGTGCATACCCGCCGAGGGGTGGGGTTAGGCAGGTGGGCAACCAGATCAGTTGTCCCTGGCCCAGAGTAGGGGATGCGGCCTGGAAACCGCACCCTCTAGCTATGACCAATAGCTTTCTTTTCACAAAAAATGTTTGCAAAGAAATACTGTACATTGGCTTAATAGCTCTTTTTCTATTCAATTCAATTCAGTTTATTTATATAGCGCCAATTCACAACACAAGTCATCTCAAGGTACTTTACAGTTCAACCAGATCAAACAGTCAAATAGATTCAAAGTTTTCTATCTAAGGAAAACCAGTTGATTGCATCGACTCAAATGCAATCCCTCATACTAAGCATGCTTGTAGTGACAGTGGAGAGGAAAAACTCTCTTTTAACAGGAAGAAACCTCGAGCAGAACCAGGCTCAGTGTGAGCGGCCATCTGCTGAGGCCGACTGGGGTTCAAGGAGACAGAAGCAGAGATACAAAAGGCAACTGTAAAGGCGGCCCCGTCCAGGAAACACACAGCCAGTCACAGTCAGAGAAACAGGACCACACTGGAAAACAGGCCGATCTTCAGCATCTATAAACAAAGGTGTTGATGGCAGCAGCACAGCTGATATTTCTCTCCAGGATGCTTTCACAGCCAAACAGGAACAGACGAGGTGAAGCTACTATGAGAAAAAGTACGTTAGAGATTGAACTAACAGATTCTACAGATTGGGAGAATAGAGATATAATGAAGCAGAATGATGAAATTGGGGTCCCTATGTCCTCCAGAAGTCCAAACCTATAGCAGCATAACTATAGAGATAGCTCAAGATAACCTGAGCCACTCTAACTATAAGCTTTATCAGAAAGGAAAGTTTTAAGCCTAACCTTAAAAGTAGACGGGGTGTCTGCCTCACAGACTACAACTGGTAGTTGGTTCCACAGGAGAGGAGCCTGATAACTAAAAGATCTGCCTCCCATTCTACTTTTAGAAATTCTAGGAACCACTAGTAAACCTGCAGATTGAGAGCAAAGTGCTCTGTTAGGAACATAAGGAACAATCAGATCTCTGATATAAGATGGAGCTTGGCCATCTTTTGGCTTCCGGATAGACGAGTCTGAGTAGCTCCATTTCACAGCGGAGCTCAGTCCGACATGGTTTTTTAGACTTACAGTTTGAGCAGGTAGATCGCATCGGGCCGCACAATCAAGAAAATACATTGTGAGCTGTGAACTTTTAAACCCTGCGGTTTGATCGTACAGTGTGAGTTGTAGCTGCGTGCAACAATTGAAAAAAATCGTACGGTGTATGCCTGGCTTTAGTAGACTGGATATAATCCTATGTGCCAAGCTTAGCCTTTGACACGTGTGAAAGTGTAGCTCTTTGTATGGCCATAATTTCCCTTTTATGTAGATCTACAGTGAGGTCTGATTTCTCTTGGGAGTTCCTTGTATGATTAAGAGCCAAGCTTTGAACTCCAGTAACATGCGACTCCATTAGCTATTTTAGGCTTGGGGAAATGGTTTATCTTGACTGTTTTTAACTACATTCTGAGGAAAGGAAGTCCAGTGAAAGTTCAAGTTCTGCTACTTGTTCTGTCTTTCCAAGGAGAAAACAATTCAAAGTCATTTCTGCCTCCAGCTCTCCGTATCAGATCCGGAGACATTTGCTCTCCAGGTGTTTTCCTCCTGTAGAGGCAGTTCTACCGCCCAGTTTGTTTTCACATCATCCAGTTGATCTTATCAGTTCTTCTTAGACGAGACGCCAACAATCAGCAGTGGACAGGCCAGCGGACGCAGGCGGTGAAGGTGACTGGGCTACAGTGACAACCTGGAGTTCTCTACTTAGACCCTGGAATCTGACTAGGAAGTGTGTGATATCATAAATATGTGGCGGGTCGTGGAAACTTCCTTTTGTTTATTCCCACCCTGTTTATTCTGCCGTTTTGTAATGAGGGTTTGGTTCCTTCACACCCTTGTTTACACTTTAAAACAGTCTCTCTGCTGTTTTATGACCTGCAGGGTTTGTTCCCATTAATGATTAATCAGATATCGTCTCAGTCATTTGTCCAGCCTTGAAAGGTCGGAAAAGGTGAAAGTTTCTGGCAGAAGTTGTCAAAGTGAAATAAAGGCGGTTTTATCAATGTTTGAGCATTATAAACTCTACAATGACATGACTGCCAACATTTACTTTAACTCAAAGAGTCATTGCTCTAAGAGCCTTCACCTGCTGACCGCTGTCTCAGTCCTGAGGCTGAGGTTTTTTGTTTGAACTCAGGAAGGTTATTTAGGGGGCAGAATAAAATCCTTTGAGAAGGAAAAAAGAAATTTTAGCAAAATGTTTCCAACGGTCAACCCCCACTTTCTTGTCCTAAATACAAGTTAAAGGAATAGTACACCCAAAACATGATTAGCCTTCATTTTCTACTCACCCCCATGCTGAACAACACTCTGGAGTACTTTTTTGATATCTCAAATGCATCTGGAGATCTGGGAGGCTTCTTGCTGTCTGCTGACATTCAAATAATGGAGGTCTATGGTGCCCGAGACAGAAAGGTCCATAAAAGTCCACAAAAAACGTGTCAATATTCCTCCATACTGCTCGTCCAATGTATTCCAAGTGTCCTGAGAGGGTAGCGTCCATAATTTACTCGAAACGAAGTCATTTAGAATGTTTTTAGAGCATAAACAGTAGTGTATAGGATTTCCTGAAAGCGCGCACATGCGCGTTCACGACGCTACGGAAGCCGGCAGACCAAACCAGATGGAAGTGCGCATTCAGCGTCTGCTCTGCCAATAATGCAAGCGTAGTAGAAGAAATGTGCTGTTTACCTGTGCAAAGAAAGAAACAACGAAAGAAAAATGTCTGAGGACTTCAGTGTTGAGGAAGAGCATGAGTTCTTTGCCGAGCTGAATGCGCTGGTTTGGTCTGCCGGCTTCCGTAGCGTCGGGACAGCAAGAAGCCTCCCAGATCTCCAGATGCATTTGAGATATCAAAAAAGTACTCCAGAGTGTTGTTCAGCATGGGGGGGGAGTAGAAAATGAAGGCTAATCATGTTTTGGGTGTACTATTCCTTTAAGAATTACTCATCATTTTGCATGTTTCTGGTATTTTAAATGTATTTACGAGTTTATAAAATGACTGGCCTAAATATGTTGTAATTTTGTTATTAAATTTGCCATTTGTTACACATAAACACTATATCCTTTGTCATATTTTTCACCAATAGAGGTCACCATTTTTACACATGCATGCTTGGTTGGGTCATTCTGGTCCGGGCTGATCAAACATAAGAATGCTAACCAGATGTATATTTTGTTGTATTGCATTTGACTGAAGTAAAGTGACAATATCACACTTTGTTTTTGCCCCGATGATTTAATGAGCCATTCTCTGGTAGTAGCCATTCAAAATTCCAAACAAATGTGATTGGCTTGTGATCTGTTTACCATAGTAGCTAGAGCTAACCCCATTGGCAGAAGCTTACATTAAATTAAAATAAAATTGGAAGACAATTAAAACTGTTTAAATATCATTGAAGCATCTTTAAGTTGTTGTTGTAGGCGACTATCATCCAAAAATTAGTCACTGAGAGGAGAGCAGGGATCTGTTTGATGCGCTGAATCCGAAGAGGAAACATAAAGCTTTACTGCAGTTAGGGATGTTTATTGTACCCTTTTTCTGTGAAGCATTGTACAACAGGTAGATTTGCAGACTTATTTTGCTTTAAAGTTGCGGTCAACAGAAATATTGGCACCCTGCCTTAGCCTCTCTCTGAATCAAACAAACAAACAGCCCCAGAGCAGATCCAGGTGATATTCATTAGACAATCATTCAGCTCCAGACACATGCCAACACCCACTTATAGCTCCACCCACACATGCCCATACATACCTTTAACACATGCATCCTACCTTTAGAGACATGACAAAAATGCATCCTTGCCTCTACAGTTGTAACACATCATTCTAATACATCTGAGAAAATGTTTTGGTGCTAATGCTAACTGTAAACACCCTCAGTTACAAACTTCTGCTCTTTGTAGCATAGCTCTCCATCAGCTGGGTCCACCTCATTTTCTACTCCTCTATGTTCTCACATAATTCAACGCCCTCCTGCTCAAACTGAAAAGATTTAACGTTACTTATTCCTGATTTAGCTGGATGGAGCTAGCGCCCCCTAGCATGCAACGTCCGTGTGAAACTATTTTATTTACATTTATTAAAACTAAACAGATTACAATAAACATTCTTTAAATGGGAATCTTCCAGAGTATGAATATATGAGGACTTCATCGTACCTTGTCCTCAGTCAAACAAGCTACACCTCCTATTCTACATGTTTCTACTCCAGCAAATCTATTTCTGTTGCCGTCTTCAAATAAAGAAAAAACGTATGAAATTCCTCTGAAGTTAAAATGTTCAGTGTAATCAGAAATCCCAGGAGTTCCTCAGGGACCACATCTCATCTATTTGCTGCTTTGTGATCTTTCCAAATGCTTTGGATCAAACGATGCTCGTACTTATTACCAGGTTATCATGAAAACTCCAGCTGCAACAAATTAGACCAAAAGTCTAAAGAAAGGAACTCATTGAGCTCCTGATAGCAGCCACATCGCTGGTTTACTCCACTTGATACGTTTGGATGTTTAACATGACGTTACCTGGTGCCTAGTATCAATTACCTTTTGATTGAGTGATGTTTAAGGAGAAAGTTAGCACACTGGTCAACTCTACTCATAGGTTTTAGATCAGTATGAATGAAGCCGTTGAATATCCATATGGTGCTTTAACTGTCGCAGGCCACTGAAGAAAGCAGAACCCACAGTGTTTTTCATGCCTAATAAGGACTAAGGTACAAGATT